CCCCCCGAGTCCCCGAGCCACAGTCCCTGCCTGTGGCACCCCCAGACCCCCTCCCCTGTCCCCTCCCCACGTGCCTGAGGCTCCATCCCGGTCCTGCTGTTAATAAAATCGTCTTGTTCATCTGTCCTGGTGTCCCCGTGTCCCAGGGGGGAGCTGAGGACAGCCTGGGGACAGGAGGGCTCGGGGGGGGGGGACGGGGACCCCAGCAGGACACAGCCAGGTGGGGTCGGGTCCTGCTCCCACAGGACAAGTGACAGGGGACGAGGAAACGGCCTCAGGGCAGGTCTAGGTTGGATATTTGGGAAAATTCCGTCCTGGAAAGGGCTCCCCAACCCCAGCACCGCTGCCCTAGGGGTTAAATCCCTGCGTGTGGCACTTGGGGACACTGGGGGTGGCCTTGACGGTGCCACGGGCAACGCTGGACTCGGTGGGCTCGGGATTTTCCATCCGGCCCAAATAATTCCACGATTCCTTGATGCCCAGTCCATCGTGGCACCTCCTGGCTCTCTCCTTGGCAGCCGCCAGCCCTGGCCGAGATTTCTGTCTCTTTTTTCTCCCTCGAGAGACGTTCCCAACTCTTCTGTGCTGCTCCCACGTCTCTCCTGTGTTGGCGAGTTTTAAGAGAGGCTTTTAAGGGTTTTAAGGTGGCACCAGCAAAGGCAAAAAAAGAAAAAAAAAAAAAAAACAAACAAAAAAATAAAAGCGAAAGCACGACGAGGGTTCGTTGGCAAAGCTCGTTCTGCTACGCGCTCAATTAAAGAGGAAAAAAATGGAATTTTAATCAGCCTAAACCTAAAATGAGCCCGTTTTAGGGCTGAAGGATCCGACAGGAACGTTCCCGGGGCGCTGCGGTGTCACTCCCACACACGGAGTGAGGAGCTGGCAGCACGCAGGTGCAGGTGGGGCACAGGTGGGGCACAGGTGGGGCACAGGTGGGGCACAGGTGGGGCTGTGAGAAATGCCCCTGGAGCTCGGGAAAGGGCCCAGGGAAGGGTTGGAGCCTCTGTTCTGCTCCAGGGGCAGGGGGTGGCTGAGGCCGGGAGAGCTCCAAAGCTCTCGGGCTGGTTCACAGCTCATCACAGAGCAGACTTTGCCCATCCACGTTTGCCATCCCAGCTCAGTCGGAGTCAGGAAATCTCTGAAAGTTCCACAGCGAAACTGTTCCACTTGGGTTGTTCTCCGGGCCAGGAAAAAAAAAAAAAAAAAAAAAAAAAAGAGTTCCCAAGGCAGTTTGTTGCAGGAGGAGCTCGTTATCCAGCAGGAATTGCTGGGAGTGTTCCCGATAAGCTCGGGAGGAGCTCGGCACAGGCGCTGCTCGTTGGGGTTTGATGGAATTTCAGATTTTCAGCAACGTCTCCCACCTGTCTGCACCTGGGGCACTGCTCTGTCTGTGGGCTCCACCTGCAGCCTGTCCCTGTCCCCAAAATCCCCAGGCCCCTCTCCCCTGTCCCTCTGTGTCCCCAGGTCCCTCTCTTGTCCCTGTCCCTGATTTCCAGAGCAGTTCCTGGCTCCGGGCCGCTCCTGCAGAGCCGATCTGTCCTGGCAGCTTCTCCTCTCTGCTGCCCTCAGGATTCCTCCCCTCGTTTGTTGATTTCGGTAAATCCCTCCCCAGCACCTGGCGTGGGGCAGCTGTCCCCGTGCCACCCCCGAGGCCAC